GCTTGTGGTAATATTCACCTCTGCTTGGTTTATTTCAGGGACGATTCCCGCTCTAAAAAATTCAAATGGACGGGTGACAAGAACAGCACTCATTTTCGTGCTGCGTTACTTTCTGGGCCTCCTGGGATTGGGAAAACTACATCAGCGCATATGGTAGCGAATCTGGAAGGTTTTGAGGTGTTGGAATTCAATGCTAGTGACACAAGAAGTAAAAAGTCATTAGATGTACGTGGCTTCTCACATCTATTTGAAATTTCCTCAACTGACTTTTGTGTAATTGTCGTGCGTTGCGAAATGTTTCTAGCAAGCGATTCAAGAACTCATCGGCAACAGAACCATCGGAGAGTTTTTTTCGGCGGAAGCTAAACAAGGCGATAAAGGGGTACAATCATTTCTTTATCGCTTCCCACCCTGCTATTCCTTGTCGTAACCAGATTTGTTAATGATTGATCCGCAACAGAAATCAGCGGCCAGCGGTCGTCGTAAGCTAGTAATTATTATGGATGAAGTGGATGGCATGTCATCCGGTGATCGTGGCGGCTTGGCAGAGTTGTCGCAATTGATTAAAAAGACAAAGGTATATCATCTGTTCCTTATGGTTCACTCTATTTTGCCTCTTACTGCCAGGCTAACATGGTAATTGGTCTTTCATTGCTTCCATCGGTGAACAGGTTCCTATCATCTGTGTTTGTAATGATCGAAGTAACCCAAAAATGAAGACTTTGGGTGGGCAATGCCTTGACTTGAAATTTCGAAGGTAATTATATGACTTCCGCCTTGTTTTCAACAACGCTATTGCTGTTCTAATTGGCAAAGTTGACTGACATTTACATTCCTCACTGTATTTTTACATTTTCATAGAACGGAAGCACAACAAGTCCGATCTCGTATGATGACCATTTGTTACAAGTTTGTTTTTCTCATACTTCCTTTTTTTTCGTCGGTGTAACCAGATTGCTGACTTATTGATCTCATGGCTTCGCTTGCTTTCGTCGCCGTAATATGATTTTCGAAATAGGGAAGGCCTTAAAGTAAATCCTCAAGCAATTGATAATTTGGTTGCTGCCACAAACGGCGATATTCGCCAAATTTTGAATTTATTAAGTACTTATCGCTTGAACAAGAAAGACATGTCTTTCGAAGATGCGAAAGCGCTGTACGTTTCAATTCTGTTGACTCATAGCCCAGCATTGTTCTCGCGTCCTGACAGTACTGTTGTTTGATGTTCAGATCATCCTCTTCAGAGAAAGACGTAACTATGGGGTTATTTGACATCGTGAAGAAGTACCTGGACGGGCAGATGTTTAGGAAGATGTCGTTCGCTGACAAGTACGAACCTTATTTTATTGATTACGATATGGGACCGTTGATGGTTCAAGTATGTTTGTTTTTTCAGTTCGCTCTGGATATGGATATCAATGGTAACTAATATTTATTACTCTAATTTCAGGAAAACTACATTCGCGTCAACCCATCTTCCATTGACCGCAATGCACCCCCCTCTCTGCAAGAACTTCAAAAATTAGAATGTATTTCTCGGGCTGCAGATTCTATTGCTAGTGCTGACTTATTCGAAAGATCAATCCGACAAGGCCAAAACTGGGGTTTAATGCAAAGTCATGCCACTTTCTCTTGTGTGCTACCCGCCAGTTACATGTGTGGGTTTATGAGTGGAATGTATAATTTCGCAAGGTACGCTATCTTAGGTTTTCCTTCAACCATTCGTCCCCGGTTTAACTGTAAGTCTTCCTATTTGGTAATAGTTACCTCGGCAACATGTCGAAAACCAATAAAGGAAATAGAATGCTTAAAGAACTTGCTATTCATATGAGACTCAAAATATCGGCTGATAAAAATGAGTTGAGACAGAGTTACCTGCCGACGTTAATTCCCAGGTTAACGTTACCACTCATCCATGACCAGCAGGTAAGAATCTCGTTCTGTAATTTGTTGCTATACATGCGTTTCTCACTTGTGCAATTTTTCCGAATTTGTTATTTTGCTGTGGCATGTTTACACAGGATGATGTACCTAAAATCATTGATACAATGGATGAATATTATATTAGTCGTGAAGATTGGGATTCTATACTGGATTTGGCTTTGGGAGAGTACAATTCCGAAGTTATATCGAAAAAGATTCCTAGTACTGCGAAGAGTCGTTTTACCAGAGAGTACGTTCTCCTTTCCCTTAAACTTCATTCCTTTAGTATCAGGGTCTCGGCTTAGCTAATTCGATCTGGTCTGTTTTTGTTTAAATAGATATAACAAACGATCTCATCCAGTACCACTCGGTTCTGGACTGTCGTCTACCAAGAAATCGAAGGCCGCAGCTTCCTCCTCGGTTGTTCCCGACTTAGAAGACGTCCATGAACTTGAAGACGAGGGTGACGTCAAAGAAGAAGAGGATGATGGTGATGATGATATCTCGAAGGATAAGCTGATTCAGCAGCCGAAGAAGACAAAAGGCAAAGGGAAAGCTGCAGCAGGAAGTTCAAGGGGGACTGCCAAGGGCAAAAGTAAAGCTAGTGGCTCCGGCACTGGTAGAGGTAAGGGAAAGGCGAGAAAGTAAATTCTGGGCATGTTGAAAATGAGTTGTTTGAAATTATAGCTTGCTACATCACCGCTATTGCTCTCCAGGGTCTTTAATGTATCACACTCTGTATTATGACCGACATGTATCATTCAAAAAGGTAAATAACATACCACCCTCGGAGTGGAACCTGATTTTGTGTGTTTTGTATAATCGTTCGAGGATATTTATTTAGCATTTATGTCGAGCATAATTGCAACGTTAATTTACATTCTTCTTATCAACCACACACGCGTACTATATACATGAGCACAAATGAAAAAGCGAGTAATATTTTACAACTGAATGAATATGTAACAAGAGTCGGAAAGTGATATTTAAAAGACTTGTCCCAATTTCCCGACACCAATGATCACACCGGCACTCGCTTGATTGAACTCCGAAAATGACTTGAAGCTCTGATAACTGTATTGATCATAATTATCATCATTCTTCTCACTCGTATCGTCAGAATTTAAGGCATCGATGTCGGTCTCGATGGGTTCAACAAAAGTAGTGATTTGAGTGAGACTATGCCAAATGCGACTGAGCAATCCAGAGGATGGCTGTTGATCCGCTTGGGACGGAGAAGAGGTGGATAATTGAGGCGATGTATTCTTCCCGTCGGATGTGATTTCGACAGTTGGTTCAAACGAGATTGAAGTGATAAGATCCGGATTGATCTCGAGGGAAGAACGATTGGAGTTGTCAGATTCCTCAGAGTCGTCAATCGTTTCGGACGGATGACACTCATCAAGAGAGGATCCAACGATATCGTTCGACATATCATCGTCTGTTGATACAGTTGTGTCTGACGGTAACCCTGCTCGTTTCTTCTGTCGAAGAACCTTTCGACGAGGACTTTCCGCGGGCAGAGGTACTTCTGAAGTGTCGTAAACTGTATGATACAGGGTGTCCCAAACTTTGGAACCAATACCGTCGTCAAACCAAAAGCCCATTTCATCACTATGAATCATACCAATGGAGCTGCTATCGATATCTGGGTAAGCATTGAACCATTCATCCACTGACGACAGCATTTTCGACCATGGCGAAAACTTCAACCTAGATTTTGAATCGAAATGGGGCTCGAATTTGTCGTTCCTTCTTCGGGGCGCTGTCTTCGGATGAATTGACACTGCACGGCCCGCAGGAGCACGGACAGGAAGCGAAGGTGACGGAAGTGAGATATCAGAATATGTTTGACTATTAATCGGCGTAACCATTTTAGTTGGAGTAGAGGGTAACGACGGGGCTGCGGAGCCAGGATATCTTGGGGATAACTCATCGACAGCATAAGGTGATGGACATTCGGACATTGGAGAAGACAATTCACTTGGTATGGATAATACATCTAATCTGGATTCCACATCGGACCAACTCGTCACAGATAAGGCACTTTGTCTGCGCCCGACTTCGCTTCCACAAGGGGAATCGCTGCCGAGAGTCGAAGCGTCTTCATTGATACGCTTGATATCGTCCGGAGAGTCCGTAGCTGAAGACATGCCGGAAAGGAGTCAAGAGATACCGATACGAAAGGGAATTTGTAGAGAAGAGAGTCTTAAGTTATATATGGGTAAAAATCAGATTGTATGCCCTCGTTTAAACCAATTGCGCAAAGATGATGTCATAAAGGGGCCTCGATTCGAATTCTGTTGCGATGTCAGAAACCTATTCACAGGGCTGTTCAAGACAAGTCAGATATTCAGACAATTGTAAAGATCCGAATCCACAAATTGCAGGAACCGTAGATAACAGAAGACGAATGACTAGGGTGGAACATAGCGTGAGAAGTACGCTCGGAATGGCTTGATAATAGAGTCAGAAGGACAGGGCAACGCAGTCAAGTGATTTGTGCTCGCTCATCATAGGACTTGCATTCGACTCTGACCATTACATTTTCAATTTTCAACTCTTATCATCTCACCTCGTCTTATTCTTGCAAGTGCCGCAACTGATTATCAAGAGTTCACTGATATTATCTCTTACCATCACGCACATCATACATCGCCGTCATTGAAGATCCTCGAGTAGATTGTAACGCATCATCTGGTGTCAGTTACTTAACTCTTCCCGTTTACAATTAACTTCAAACTTTACGCATGTTTTAATGTCAAAAATAACCTGATTTATATAGATTAGGTTTATTGTACAGTGTGTGACAACTGTTACTGCTATAAATTCGACATCATTCTCAATTTTTCGGCATGTTAATCAATTTCTTTTCTTAGCTCCAATCGACCGATCAAGGATTCGAGTTGTTCGAGTTGTAAGGCTTTCCGCCATATGCACAATCCAGGCACATCCACATTGACATGTGACAGGGGCATTTCTACTAAGATATTTGTGGAACGAAACCGCCAAATATACTCTTTCGCAACAGCACTAAAGAAGGAATATACAACATAAATCGGTCAACTTTGCATGGTGGCCTCATGGTGTAGTAGTATCACGCGCGCTTCGGGTTGTCTGAATTTGCGCGAGGTCCCGGGTTCAAGTCCCGGTGGGGCCCATCTATTACTTTTGATTAAGTGATTTTCAGTTTCTTTGCATCATTCTCATATTGGACCTGGGTAGTCCCTAAGTTGAATCATGACCATGTACTCCTCAAAAGAATTTTTTAGATTTCAATATTGCTTCGCATTGTACAGACTCGCTAAAAGGATTTATTCCTTAATTCTCTCATGCTTTTTCACTTTGGACGCGGTGAATATTTGAGATATCAATTGAAACCGATCAAGTTTAGAGGTTGGGGATAGGTAATTTCAACTTCGAAATATAGGAAAATTGCCATGGACGGTATGTTATTTATAATTAGCCGAACTGACGTATTGAGATTGCTTCATCATAGTTGATGAACTCTTATTGATCTCACAGGCACCTAAATGGCAATGAGTGCTTCTCATACCATATATAACTTATAAGTCGTTACCTAGTCGAGTATCTAATTTACCCCACTCAATAAGCTTTTCTTAGCATTGTTGACTTGATGCCGCCAATCCTGATTTATACGACGCCGATTTCACGTTGAAAGCGACGTGACTTATAAACCGATGTCGGCTGCACTTGTTCATCATGCTAACAGTTGTATAGTACAGTTATCAAGTACTGAAATCACAATTTCAAGCTGAAACAAATCGGCCTCATGGTGTAGTAGTATCACGCGCGCTTCGGGTAAACTGAGTCTGCGCGAGGTCCCGGGTTCAAGTCCCGGTGGGGCCCATATTTTTGTCGGGTATTATATTATTTTGTACACTGTCGTCGGTACAGTGTATATCTCATCTGAAATGTTAGTAATTTAGCAAGTCTTTTTCATTTTTTTGAAATTTGGGACCATGGGCAGAATATGTATGGCTATTTGTTTATGAATCTGCAGGCTGAGGTATACCGCTTTTCCAGACCCAAGTTTTATTTGTCTACAGTCTTGGCATTGAAAAACGTATAACTTAGGGTAATAGTATCAACATCGTCCATTGCGGGATCCATCGCAAACTCCGGGTCGATAAAAAAGAATACCGGCATGTCCACTTCTTCCCCAGCTTTTAGCTTTTGTTCTTCGAAGCAAAAACACTGAATCTTATTAAAGTACATTCCTGCTTTTCCTGGAGTCACGTTGTAAGTACTTATCCCGATTACGTCTTTATCACTATTATTTTTCGCAGTGTAGAATGCCAACGCCGTTTCCCCCGGTATCACATATACGGAGCGCTGAGTAGGCGAAAACGACCATGGTAATGAGCGTGATGTATCAGCGTTGAATGTTATCCTTAAGCGACGGTGCGACTCCATAGGTATCATATTTGAGGAAGAAAAGCGAGAGGAGTCATGTGTAGATGAAGAAGCTGAAGAAGGTAGGAGAGAGACTTGAGACGTTGCCGTCTGTGGAGTGCCACCAAATCCAGTGGCAGCGCAGAACATACGGTATAAAGGGACGGCTGTGTATGTCAGGCCCAGTCCAAATACAAGCACCGCAGACATGTAATAAAGTGAGTTTGTATTGCGCGAAGCTTGCGAAGTCGAGGAAGAATAAGTTCGCGGCATTTTGACATTAGCCGGAAGAATCGGGTTGCGAGAATAATACGTGAATGTAGTAGGAGTTTTGAAGAAATTCGACAATGAATGATGGCCTAACGATTGCCGTATCTGTCCGGCTGACTTGCGGTATAATCGGGATGTGATTTGCGAAGAAGGCAATTGAGTGTAGCCGAACCTTCGTTTAAATGTCAACGGAGAGATGAAATTCTGCCGCCAGCAAGATGTTCGTAATAATACATTTGTAAAGTACATATTTAAAATGCGATGATGTTGTATCTCGACTGTACAAACCCATTATTCAGCAGTAGAATGAATATGTTTATTTTCTCACGTGTAAGTTGCTCCACACATTCTCTTGGAGATCTGAAAAGTAAACAAACAAATGCCATCTCATCAATATCTACTCTCGACGTCGGATCGGCCATCTCTCACATCATCCATATACCTAAACTTCCAGTTTAGTAATTGTCAAATATTTCTCCTCTCCATCCTTACATAAAAAACGATCAGAGTTCGATTAATAACATAGTTGGTGTGTTGGCGTTTCTCCGCACTTGCTTTTTGGATAAATCTAACCTGCTGTTGGTAGTATTATAATTCACATTGTAGGTTTGCATTACCATTTACATTGAGGAGATTGCCGTTAAAGCGAGTTCATTAGTTTCGCAACCAGTTTACTCACCCCGAGCACCCTCTATTCACCGTAACGCCAGATCTAATAGCTATTAGCTACACATCTTCAAGATGGCAGATCAATATCAGCGCAGTATACAATACCAGTATACTGCAAATTCAAATCTTGTCCTCACTGCCGATAGGTCACAGCTACCGCGCCGAGAAAATGAACCATCCGGAGAACCAGAATCTCTTCATGGCAAAATCTCTCTTAAGGAGATGGGCTCGAGAGCTCAAAGAGATACAACACTGTTAGAAAAATATAAGAAGCAAAGTCAAGAACAGAAAGAGAGAGTGGAGAAACGGAAGAAGAAGAAGGAGGAGAAAGGGAAGAGGTAATTTGTTTTGAATTGTATTATTCACTTTTCAGTCTTCCAACCGTAAACTAACGTCCCACTGTTATCTAGTGTACCTTACGGTTACGGCTACGGATCCGTCATGGCCGCCACAGAAGATTTTGACGGCCTCAAATATCGCCCTCGCACAAAGGAAACTCGTGTGAATTACGAACTTCTGCTTAATTTTGTTCAGCAGCAACTAGGAGATATATCCCCTGACATTCTAAGGAGTGCGACAGATGAAGTCCTAGATATTTTGAAAAATGATAGCCTGAAGGATTTTGATAAGAAGAAAGAAATTGAATCCATTATCAATTCAATGAGTTCGGAACAATTTGCGCAAATTGTCAACATAAGCAAAAAATTAACAGATTACAATCCGGAGGAAACCGCCGCCACTGAAGCAAGTGCTGAGATTGATGATGAATTGGGAGTTGCCGTTGTGTTCGAGGATACAGACGAGGAAGAGGAAGATGAAGATCAGTTTGAAGTTCGGGACGAAAGTGATGTCGAAGACGATGACGCGGAAGGACAAGAAGCAATGGCGACGTCAGTTCTAGCAACGGGGCAGATTGACGAAGATGAAGAAGCTGGCAATCGGCGACTGATCATATCAGACGACGAAGAAGACGGATACCGAACTGTTGTTCCTGGTGCAGATACTTCCGCTGCCCCGTCGAAGAAAGTTAGTTCATCAGATACTAAAGCCTTATCACCGAAAGATATCGATGCGTTTTGGTTGCAGCGTACAATTTCATCTCAATATCCAGATCCTCATACGGCGCAATCCAAGACATCTGAAGCGTTGAAAATAATGTCATCCTCCGCTAATCCTCGTGACTGCGAGAATGAACTCATGGAACTTTTCGATTACGAACATTTTGAGTTGGTCAAGCTCTTGACGAGTAATCGTGATTTGATTTTATATTGTACGAGATTGGCTAGGGCTGAAGATGAAGAAGAGAAAAGCCACATACATGAGGAGATGCGACAAAAAGGATTAACTTTTTTGTTGGCAAAACTTGGAGTGGGTACTGGACTTGACGCTGGTGTTGCGGAAGAGGAAGACCTTGGAAAAAGGAGACGACCTGAAGAAATGGACGTCGACGAAAAGTCACCAGCTCTCGAACTTCCAAAGGGAGGACTTGCAACCGATCTCACCCCGAAGCAAATTCTCGACCTCGAATCGTTGGCTTTCACACAAGGTGCACATACAATGACTAATACGAAATGTAAACTCCCAGAAGGATCGTTTACTCGTACCAAGAAAGGCTATCGTGAAGTACATGTCCCGCCTCCAAAGCAGAAGCCTCTTGCGGTCGATGAAAAGCTCGTTCCGATTCATGAAATACCTGAATGGGCTCAACCTGCCTTCACTGGTGCCACTACACTTAATCGTGTGCAGAGTCGTCTGTATCCCACTGCATTCCGAAGTGATGAAAATCTTCTTCTGTGTGCTCCAACTGGTGCAGGTAAAACAAATGTTGCAATGTTGACAATATTACATCAGATCGGTAAATACTTGAATAAGGAAACGGGTGAAGTGGATTTAGACAGCTTTAAAATTGTTTATATCGCCCCTATGAAGGCTTTGGTCCAGGAAATGGTTGGCAACTTTGGGAGAAGATTGGAAAATTTTGGCATTAAAGTTGCCGAATTGACAGGAGATCGACAACTGACGAAACAACAAATTGCTGAAACTCAAATCATTGTGACGACTCCAGAGAAATGGGATGTCATCACACGCAAGGGTACCGATCGGTCTTATACTCAACTAGTTCGGCTTATTATTATCGATGAGATCCATTTACTTCACGACGAACGTGGTCCTGTTTTAGAAAGTATCATTGCTCGTACTATTCGCCACGTCGAACAAACCAATGATCCTGTTAGATTAGTCGGATTATCGGCTACCTTGCCAAATTATCATGATGTGGCCACATTCATGAGAGTCGATTTAAAAACGGGTTTATTCTTCTTCGACAACAGTTATCGCCCTTGCCCTCTCAAGCAGCAGTATATCGGGGTATCCGAAAAGAAAGCGCTTAAAAAATTCCAGACGATGAATGAAGTAACATATGAAAAAGTTATCGAAGAAGCGGGTAAAAATCAAGTTCTGATTTTTGTTCATTCCCGGAAAGAAACCGCCAGGACAGCGAAACTTTTACGGGACATGTCAATTGAAAAGGAAACAATTGGTTTATTTTTGCGCGAAGACTCTGCGAGTCGTGAAATTCTGCATACAGAAGCTGCAACCGCTAAAGATAAAGATTTACAAGATTTGTTGCCATATGGCTTTGCTATTCATCATGCTGGTATGACTAGAGCAGATCGTACCTTGGTAGAAGACCTATTCGCAGACAAACATATTCAAGTGTTGGTATCGACTGCCACGTTAGCGTGGGGAGTCAATTTGCCCGCTCACACCGTCATCATCAAGGGTACTCAAATTTATAACGCAGAG